CCCCCCCCCCCCCCCCTCTTTCCCCTCCTCTAAAATTAATTCTCTCCTGGAGAACGTCTTCGTGAGCCTTTTATGATTTTAGGATAGTTGAAACCCTCTTGAACATTTAGAAAGAGTGAATATGAAATTCTAATCACGAAAGGTGTTTCTCGAGGGAATACATACCTAGAGTTTGTTTTGTGAAGCACGTCAATTCTCTCTTGAAAGCGTCTTCGTGAGCTTCTTATGGTTTGAGGATAGTTTAAATCCTATGATGTTCCGATTCAATGCTTACCGATGATCTGACCCATAGGGCAAGTTTGTTTTCTTAAGAATCTTTTTGACCATTTCGATAGCATATGTTTGAACATTTAGAGTGCATTTTACGAAAGGTCGCTTCCGAGGGTATAAATCACCATATCGAACATTGCATTTTTGTTCCTGCCACTCGCATTTTCTTCTCTTCCCGCTGTCCTATCTTTCGTGTCTCTTTCCTCTCAAATATTTTCATATATTTATATATTTATATTTATATTTATCTTTGCACATCTATATTTCTATTTATATAGATTGCATTTAAACATATTAATGAAAAAAGATAAATTAAAAACATATATTTATTTAGACACGAATGCCTAACAGATTATGGTGATATAGTAAGGCAGCGTTGGGTTGGTGTTAGGTTTTAAATAAAGAACAGAAACACCGATATAAAATAAGAAAAAGGACACAAATAATAATAATAAGAAGAAGAATGCCCAATAAGCAGCAGACAGGCAAGCAGGAACAAAATACATTTGACAGAATAAAGAAATCGACGGATATTTTAGTGTTAGGCTGGCGCTAGATCCGCGTTAACACCGCGCTAGACGACGGTCCATTTCTGATTATTTGCCCATCCAACACCCAAATCTTTTGAGTCAATTTTTACATTCTTCCTATGTCGTTCTGAAAGATTTCTGAGAACTAAATTGGAAGTACCCGCAGAAATCTAGTAGCAACAGTAGCAGCAGCAACAACAAAAACAACAGCTCCAGCAACTCAACAGGCCCCTGAAAAGGTCCGCGTTAGACACCTCCCACAGTTTTTGCAATTGATACGCCTTTATGTTTAATATTCCTGTGTTTTGAGTGTGGTTGGAATTTAAAGGAGATTTAGAAGCGGGTTTCCATGAAATTGCGATGAATGCACCATTTTGGGAAAAGATATTTTGGAAATTAATCATATTTTTCTTTATCTTCATATTTATATATATTTATATATATCTATTTATAATTACATCTATATATTTAAATTTCTATATATTTTCACATTTGCATATCTATATCTTTACTTATCTTCATATCTTCATATTTATATATCTCACATCTTCATCTATATTTCTATTTATCTTTACATCCTTAGATCTACACATTTTTTATGTTCACTTCTCATTCTTCTTGTTCACCTTTCATTCTTCTTTGCTTTCTCTCTTAAGGCCGGGGGCGGTATTGCCGGAGCACCACGAAACGCAACCCTCCGCGGAGATCGTGCGTGTCGAGGGCGCGAAATTCAAATGAAAATGCGTTTTCGATTTGTCGCGGGCAACGCTCTGCGGAGCTCGTGCGTGTCGAGGGCATGAAATGCAGGTGAGATTGCATTTTGGATTTGTCGTGGGCAATCTTCTGCAGAGATCGTGCGTGTCGAGGGCGCGAAATGCAGGCGAGAGTGCGATTTGGTTTTGTCGCGGGCAACCCTCTGCGGAGATTGTGCATATCGAGGACGCGAAATGCAGGTGAAATTGCATTTTGGATTTGTCCGGGGCAACCTCTACAGAGATCGTGCGTGTCGAAGGCGCGAAGTGCAGGTGAGATTGCATTGTGGATTTGTCCGGCGCAACCCTCTGCGGAGATCGTGCGTGTCGAAGGCGCGAAATGCAGGTGAGAGTGCATTTTGGATTGGTCGCGCTTTACTTTTGGAGGAAATTTCGTTCGAAACGCTCGTTTTGGAGACTTGGCGCTTCACTTTTGGAGGAAATCTCGCACGAAACGCTCATTTTGGAGACTTGGCGCTTCAATTTTGGAGGAAGCTGGACTCAGAAGTGGCCAATTTTTAATACAAATGTGGTACGGGAAAGAGCTTTCTTAGACCTGGCCAATTTGTAGTGCAAATGTAGTGCGGGAAAGAGCTTTCGGAGCTGGACTCAGAAGTGGCCACTTTGTAGTATAAATATAATTTGGGAAAGAGCCTTTCGAAGCTGGATTTAGAAGTGGCTAATTTGTAGTACAAATGTAGTTCGGGAAAGAGCCTTTCGAAGTTGGATTCAGAAGTGGCTAGTTTGTAATATAAATGTAGTGCGGGAAGCGACGTTGCGGAGTTCGACTCAGAAGCGTTTACTTCTCATACGTTTACTTCTCATGTAATATGATTGCTTCTAGTGTGTGGGCAGACCGTGTGGCGAATTATGTCCGTGATGTTGCAGTGCCATGTGGATTTGCGCGGCCTTGGTGGGAAATACGTTTGCGTGGCGCCGTGCCATTGGGGAGCGCGAAATATGTTGGCATAAACGCGGCGCGTCGCTGGTGAACGGGATGATTGGCGGTATCGTATGATAGGATAGCTTCTAGTGTGTAGGCAGAACGTGTGGCGAAAATACGTCCGTGATGTCGTAGTGCCATGCGGATTTACGCGGCCTTGGTGGAAAATGCATTTGCGTGGCGCCGTGCCACTAGGGAGCGCGAAACATGCTGGCGTAAACGCGGCGTGTCGTTGGCGAGCGGGATGATGCGGGCACGGGGGATGACAAGGTCATTGCGCTGCAATATGAGAAAGTATTGACACTGGAGGCGCAGTCTCCGAAACATTTTCGGATGGAAGCCTTTTGTCAGTTGGCTCAAGCCATTCACTTCAACATGTCAGATGGTAAGGTACATTTGGTAATCGACAAAGTGATTGCCGAGGATGATGGCACGGACATATATCTGGTCGCGGGAAGTTGCAAACAGAAGAAGAAGTGCAAGCCGTTAGGGAGGAGCGCAGTAGCATCGCAACGGTGCAAATGACTTCTTCGAAGAAGAGTTATACCGTCTGCTTGATCGAAGCGACGCCCAACAAAGTGAAAAGCGTCAAGTGGTAGCTTGTCGTATTTCTTTTAGAATAGGGGTTGTTGGGGATGTTGTAGAGATTATTCGTATATCTCCTCAACATGATTTTGTCTTTGACTCGTAGAGCTTAGTACCCGAGCTGCCGCATGAAGTTGCTGCTCGTCCTGTTCGCTGCGATAGGGATTGTCCGCGTAGTATGAATGCAAAAAGAGCACCTGGTTACTTGTGATTTTTTTCAATAAGCAATTAATGTCATGACGATGGGCATTCGGCAGTCTTGCATGCTCGTGTTTCTTGTTGGCTTCGGTTTCGTCTCTTGAGGTGATTCTGTGTTGCGTCGCAGCGGGTGGTTGGGTGCTGGGTTCGCGTTTGGTGTGGATGGGCAGGCTGTGTCGGCGGGGTCTTGCCGCCTTGTGTTGCGTGGATGGGGGTGTCCGCGTCTGAAACTTTCGCGGCGTCCTGAATGGGGGGGTCCCATACCATGCCTCCCCAGGACCCAGAATACATCGACGTATCCCGGCACAGGCGGGGGCCGCTCAGCGGCGCGTGCGTGAATAGCTTGAATTGCAATATCTTTGGAATTGTTTTTCCGTATGCGGATCTGGTAGGGATTTGACGTGCAATTGTTGTTTTCGTTTGGTTCCAATTGGGTAGCCGCCATTCCGTTAACCGCACTACCATTGTTGCTCCATTCTTAGAAGGGACTGTCCGTGAGAGTGGAGCTGTTATCACAATGGAACAGAATTTGTTGTTTTGAACAATTTGTTACGTCCAGACATGTAACACTGATCAATGATGTAATAGGTGCTAGGAATCTTTCGAAGCGATTAGACATTCGCCTTTTGTAATCACGGTTCTGGCTACTGACGCTGCCACGTGGAGAATAGAGCGAGAACAGGATATCAGAGACGTTTATGCTGATAGGAACCGGCGGACTGATTTGGATTATGTCATAGACCAATATAATTACAACTTTAAATCCATAGAAGCGTGACCTTTGGACGCTGCTGTCATTTATAGGCCTACGGATCGAGCATCGCTATTGCTTGGAAATTTGAAAGCTGCATGTAACTTGCAAG